CTGGACCTGGCACCTCCAGAGTTCTTTTATCCCTTCCATTGCCTCACAGAAATGAAGGAGGTCCTCAAAACAAATCTGCTTCCAAAACCTGCCTCTCCTCAACCCACTCTGGCTTGTCCTGGACTCTATACATTTTTGCATCCATTTCCTGAGGAGTTCAGTGGAGGGGATATAATCTCCCTGCCTTAGATTTCCTGAGAATCAGAGACTTGAATTGTCTATCCTTGATTGCACAGGAGAGAAAGATCTTCTGGAGTTCATCATCTCTGTGATCTCCTAGCTCTTCAGTGTCTCTGCTGAGATCTCACTGTGTCTCAGACCTCCAAGTCATACCCCATAGTGCCCTCTTCTGGTATCCATCCTCCAAGATCCCTCTACTGTTAGGAAACTAGTCTGCCCACCCAGGAAACACCTGCTATGGTTGTTGTTGGTGTGGTCTCCCCAGAGGCAGCTGTGTTTCTGCCCTTCCTCTGTGCTATGTGTGGAAGCACATGCAGCATCAAATTCCACCAGTATGTAAGTCACTCCCTGGTCACTCACCACATGCTTCATGGACCATCTAGTTGTCACTGGGAAGGAGTGTCATAGAGGGAACAAGGTGCCACACCAAGGGTCATAGTCCTGACCTGATTTTGCAGCTTTGTTCCTGTCTGACCATTTCCTGGTAATGACCAGTTCTCACTAAGTGGCTGAATCTCAGTCTCAGAAGTGAGTTCCCAGAATCCTACTTCTTGTGTAGGGTATCTACAAGGAGATTAGGGAAAAATGGGAAGGGAAAGATTTTAAAATGGGTTATTTCTATTCAAACAAGGGTTATTTATTTGTTTTAAATTATTTTATTTTATTTGGTACTGAGGATTGAACCTATAGTTTCTGAACTACTGAGCCACATCCCCAGCTGTTTTTAATATTGTATTACAGGAAGGGTCTCATTAAGTTACTGATGTCCTAGGTATGTTGCTGAGGCTAGCTTTAAGCTTATGATCCTTCTGTGTCAGTTCTTCAAGCTGCTAGCATTACAGGGATGCACCAACTTGCCTAGCCAAATATTTTATATTTTATATCACATCTTATATTATCTGGTACAGTGTATAATTGAATGATGCATAATTGTTGAATGATTAGTTCAGGCTAATGCAGTTACCTCAATTTTTTTAAAGCAGCTTTATTGAGTTGTAGCTCACATATCAACAACTCTACCATTTCAAGTAGACACGCCAATGCCTCTTATTGTGTTTAGAGTTGTGCAACAATCACCATAATTAATTTTAGAGCATTTTCATCATTCAAGAAGGAAAATACATGACCATTAGCAGTAATTCCCAGTTGCTTTCTTCTTCAGCATATTCATCCACTCTGCCTACCTGTGAATGAAATCACTTATTCTCTTTCCATGGCTAGGTGATTCCCTATTTTAAAATTGCTTTTATGTGAGGATAATATGTAAGTTATATTTTATTCAATTATGAAATACATAATATATTAGTATTAACTATAGTTACCCAGCTATTCAGTAGAACAACAAAAATTATTTCTCCTGTCTGACTGAAAATTTGTCACCTTTTACTAAATCACACTTTATCCTGCTCCCTTCCCCACCTCACCCCTGTTTTGGAATGATTTTATTCTCCACCACTGTGACTCCTTCTCTTATAGATTACACATATAATTGAAATCATGTAGTTTTTGTCTTTCTGTGCCTAGTTTATTTCACCTAGCATAAGAATCTTTTATTTTTACTATAGACTTCATACTTACCTAAACATTACATTCAATTTTATGTTTAACCTATGTGTCCAGTCAAAGAGAAGCAGTTATTTAGATTATTTTCTACCTTTGTAGTTTGTTTTCATCCTACTCCATGAATGTGGCATGATCAAGCAGAGTCATCTCAAAGATAAAATAAAATCTGCACAAGTGTGACAAAGGGTCTTCCATTCATTTTCTGAAAGCACTTTTAAAAGTGTTTTCTATCTTCTTTTGTTTGCATGGCATGTGGTTCAGATTTATTAAATTTCCTGAGTAAAATTATCATTGTTGTTTTTAGATTCCATTTAGGATGGAGTAAGCACACATCATCTTTTCAGATTGAACCCAGCAATTGAACCTCAAACAGTGCACAGATATGATCTTTATGACCACCTAGGAAAGAAGATCACAGAAGGCAGACTGGAGGAGACACCAGCGCATTAAAGATACCCAAATAGCAGAGAGTTTTCCACTTCTACCCTATGCCCTTGGCCTGTTCTTAAGCAGCCTGGGACCTGGGACCTGACTGAATTCCAGGAGATGCCCAACTGTTAGAAGCTGTGAATGAATTGTGGGCTTGTCTGAGCCAACTCTTAAGTTAAGGTGTACCCCTCAGACAACTCTTGGTGTTATCTCACCAATATGAGACCACTCTGTTGCCTTGGCTAAGTCCTGCTCAAAGATAATTCTGTAATAATGAGGAATTTATTGGTTCAGACAGCCCTAGTTTCAAACACAACTCCCAGAGTTGGAAAGAGATAGATAGCAGTGGGCCTTTGAGGTGCCAGCTGCCTGAAGGAGGAAGAATTCCTACTCATGTGATAAGTCTCTTATCAGGCAAATTTCCCTACAGCCTCTTGCTTCTTGTTTATCTTGCAAAACTTTTTTCACAGTAAATCCTCCTTTGATATGTTTTGCTGTAAATAATGCATTGGTGGGCTTTTTCTCTTTGTTAGGGATTGACTCATCAGGTCTGATCCACCCACCAGAACCCCACTGTGAAACTATTTTCTATGTCTTTGTTTTTACCTCTAAATATTATTCCAGATTTTAAATTTCCCAGCTGATTCACATATTCGTTTGGTTTACTGATCCCTTGTTGTGCAGGACACAGCGACACCCCACTCTTGTGTCTCCTAGAGAAGAAAAGGAATACCTCATACTCTGAGAAATGTGGGATGGGCACATTTTCTTTTTCTTAGGGTTTTTCTCTTCTTCATTGATCTCTTCTCTACTTGATACTGAATTGGGAAATTCTCTCTGGTCAGAATTGTAAAAAAAATAAATAATAAAGGGGACACAGAAACAAGGTGCAGAGGCAAGAAAGTGGCAGAGAGGCTCATTGTCCAAGTGGCCACGTTAATTTATACCAATATGTTACATTGGGTCATTAGTATCATAACTACATTATTATTTAGAGTAACAGCAAGGTTGCTTATTATGCAGTTACATTCTGCAGTTACAATATGCAATGTTAGGAGGTTTGTGCAGTTCTCAAGAAAGTTCATTGTCTGAAGTTACTGTTAGGCAGGCAGATCCAGGAGCACCAGAGGTTGGTGAAATGTTGTAGTTATTAAGCAACCAAGTTCCTTTATTCCCAGGAGTTATGTACCTGAGATCAAGGTCGAAACCCTGGTGAAGAACACTGCTTCAGCAGCCAGACATCCCATGTCTTTTACACAGAAGTTTCCCAGCAGCCAGGCATTCTGTACCTTTGCACAGAAACTTCCTAACCATAAAGCAGGCCACAATCATGAAGTTTATCAGAGACCCCAATCTCAAACACAGAACCCCTATACAAAGTGGTGGCAATGGACACTGTAGGGGCTTTCCATTCTCATTTGAGAAACTAATTTCTCGACATATTGTCACTTAATTCCACTAGTTTTGTTACTCTGTGTTTTCTTAGTACTTAGTGGGATTCTGGCCTCTGTAACCCATATTTCACTTTTACACCCTGTAGTCCATTCCTCATTTGACAACTATAGAGCCCTTGATAGCATAGCAGGCTCACGGAGAACCTATAGAAGATCTCTTTGATATGTCTCTATGTCCAGATTGAGACCACACTCCTTCCCTACAGGATCATCTGATTCCATCCATCAAATCCCTTTCTCTATTCAAATCCTGTCCACTCCAATTCTTCTTCAAAGTCTTCCTTTTTGCTCTTCCAGATCCTGAGATGTCCTTGGCCCTTCCTGTTGCAGTGCACCACTCAAGACTAATTTCTGAGAATGGAGGGAAATAAACCTGTTCATTGTCTCAGAAAAGGGCTAAGGAATGGAACAAGTTTTGGATATCCTTAAGTTCAGACAAACTAGGTAGAAGTAATTACTGTATCTCATCTTCTGAAAAATAAGCCTAAACTCGTTCTCTTGTTCAAAGAATTTGTGGCTATATTTCATATTTAGTGAATCTTATAACTGGAATTCTAACTAGAAATTGGTTTAGGGTCACCATTGAAATCACAAACTGTTGGGAACTATTGAGGGAGGAGGAGTACACCCACAAGACATCTCTCTTAATTCTGGAATAAAAGGATCCTCTTAGGACAAGCTCATGCTACTGAGAGACATTTCACCTGCAGGACACAACCAGGAAAGGGTCTCAGGTTTCTAAGGGAAGAGAGAATCGTGATTAAAAATACAGTCTCCACTTGACTATGATGACACCTCCCTTGACTATGATGACAAATGTCTTATGACTTAAAGAATGACAGCATGTTTCCCTTTGTCCTCATTTCCTCCGTAATATTCTCAGATTTTCTCAGTGGTTGTTACTTCACCAGCAGACATGCCCTTGAGAGCAAACAGAGGGATGTTGACCTCAGCATGGTGGATGCAGAGTTTATGCAGAAGAGATTCCAGGCAGATTTGCACAATATGGGAGTAGAAGGCAGCAAGAGTGACATTTTCCCTGAGAACTACTGGGACTGAACCAAATAGGCATCTTCATATTATTCTGCCCCTACTGTAAGGATGTGAAAAAATTTGCACATGTAGATACAGCATCACACAGCAAATAAAAAGCTGTTGTTGTCCTTACACAATAAATAAGAAATTGTGTTTCCTTTTGCACTTCTTGGTAGAACAAAGGTGGAACTTCATGAATGATAAATGAATTCTCAGGGCCCTGTGCAATGTAGCCCTCTCTGTGCAGGGCTGAGGAAGCATCTTCAGAGTGAAGAAGAAAATGTGAACTCAGGACAGGTTTTAGACCCACTTCCTCATGAACTTGGAGCACTGTGTAAAGTACTGCTGCTTGTGTATGAGCAGCAGTAATAATCAGCCTCATCCTCAGGCTGAAGTCTAGAAATTGTCAGAGAGGCTGTGTTGCCAGACTTGGAACCAGAGAAGCGATCAGGTATCCCAGAAGGACGATTAGTGACTCCATAAATCAGGAGTGTGGGGGATGCTCCTGGGAGATTTCGATACCAGGAGACACTATTATATCTCCCAATATCATTGCTGGTACCAGTGCAGGAGATGGTGACTGTCTGTCCTGAAGACCCAGAGGCTGATGGAGGCTGATTCAGAGCAGACTGAGACCAGGATCCTGAAGAGAGAAAAACACACTCTGGTATGTCAGTGCTGGTCCCAGGTGAGCCAGAGCTGGAGAAGACATAATATTAGCCCATATTTCCTTGTGTCCCTTCCCTGGAGGTGTCACCTGTGCCTTGGGAGAGGAGGGTGAGGACAAGCAGAGCCCAAGCCATGGTGGTGATGCCCTGAGAATGTTGCCTCCTGAGCCTCTAGCTCTGGGCCTGGCTCCCCAGACCTCTCTTATCCCCTTACCTGACTCAGAGCAGGGAGGGGCCTTCATGCAAATTTGTTTCCAGCTCCTTCCTCTCATCCCCCTACCCTTAGCTGCCTTAGGTGTTCTGGACACCTATGTCTCCTAGATCAGAAGAGTTCAGTTGAGAAAATTAAATTGTTTGATATTTATTCTCTGAACCAGGACAGATGGAACCTGTGACAGCACCCAGGAATTAGAGCCCCTTTGGGATGTCCCAAACCTTCCAATAGTGGAAATTATATAAAGGTCACCTCATGTTTCCAGGACTTCTGTGTGCTTTGTGGGATGATCTTGAGGACATCATACCAGGATGGTGGTATAGATCCAGTCTCTATTCTTCTCAAGGAGAGAGGTGGCTGGGAGCACCACACATTCTCCTCAACCTGCTCAGGATCCCCTGACCCTGTCAGGATGTATGTTCAGAGTTTACTAAGTCCTCTGCCTCAGGAAAAAAATGTGGCTGGATTTCTGAAGCTGGGACTGTAATTAACAGTGCTTCTTGAAAATAATTTGTGGCAGTACCACATATTTAGTGCTGCCACCCTAGTGGTACTTTAGGTATAAACATGGGAAAGCACCTGTTTGGACCTCATTACTGTTGGTGGTATACCAGAGCAACTGCTCTTCAGACTACAGCCCCTACTGCCCCCTGGTGGACTCACATGGAATATCCAAGCCTTTGGGGAAGGGCAGGGAATGGAGCTGGGTAAATGGCTCTGCTTCCTCTTCTCAGTCCAGCCTCCATCCCCAGCTCAGGACAGCCCCTAGTCCCTTCTAGTCCCCTCCTGGTGCCTCTTTCTTCTTTTTTATTGTTTCAGTGGTGTACTTGTACATAATGATGGGATTTGTTTTTACATATTTGTAGATGCACACAATATAACAATGTAATTTGGCCAGCATCACTTTACACCACCTAATTACTTTCCTCTATTGATCTCCCTTTGATTTTCATGAGATCTCTGCCCCCTCCACCTTTCTTTACCTTTTGCTCTCTAGCATCCACATATCACAGAAAACATATGACCCCTGACCTTCTTTTTTGGCTTATTTCACTTAACTTAATGATCTCTAGTGTCATGCATTTTCCTGAAAATAATGTAAATTTTATTTTTTGTGGCCAAATAAAACTGCATTGTATACATGTACCATATTTTTTTATCCATTCATCTGTTGATGTACACCTAGGCTCCTATGACATTCTAATGCCCAGTAGCCACATTATTTGCCTCTAGATAAAAATAAAGAGGCTTGTAACATTTTTAAATAATGTATATTATATATCCCAACATAAGAAAAATAATATCATTATCATGAGAATTCACCGATTGGGTTAAAACTCTCACAACCTAATCATTTCTCCTCTGAACCTTCTTGCATTGTCTCACACATGAGCTTTTGGGGAACACCTCATATCGAAACCATAACAATGACATTCTCCATAGGACCCCTAAAGCTCAGGAAATAATGCCAAGGGTTAACAAGTGGGAATGACATCAAATTAAAAAGCTTCTGGAAAACAAAGGGAACGATTAGCAAGGTGAAGAGAAACTGTAGAGAATGGGCAAAAAATCTTTGCTAATTACTCTTCTGTCAGAGGATTTAGGTCTAGAATATAAAAAGAACTTAAAAAACTTCACACACATACACACATACACAGAAAATGAATTAATAAACATGTAGGTAAGTTAAACAGATGCTTTTCAAAAGAAAAAGCATAAATGGCCAACAGATATATGAAAAAAGTTTAACATCATTAGCAATGAGGGAAATGCAAATCAAAAGTAAATTGAGATTTCATCTTACACCAGAGTGGCAGTCATCCAAAATACAAACATAAAATGCTAGAGAGGATGTGGAGAAGAAGGAATACTTTTATACTCTTGGTGGGATTATAAATTACTACAAACACTATAGAAATCAGTATAGAGGCCCCTCAAAAGACTAGGCATGGACCCACCATAAGACTTGGCTATAACACTCCTCAGTATTTATCCTGAAGAATCAAAGCCATCTTACTACAGTGATTCATGCATACCCATGCTTATAGCAGCACAACTCACAATAGCACAATATGGAATCAGCCCAGGTGTCCATCAGTGGATAACTAGATAAATAAAATGTGGTATATACAGCAATAAACAAAAATGAAACTATGCTATTTGTAGAAAACTGTATGATACTAGAGACCATCATGTTAAGTGAAAGAAGTCAAACTCAGGTTAAGGGTAGTTTTCTCTCATAAGTAGGAGCTAGAGAGGAAAAGGAAAAGAAAGCTAAGACAGGTGGTGGTCCCCCTACTCTTCAGGGTACTAAAGAAGACTGCTTGCTCCATGCAGACAATGTCTTGAGTGCTATTCCCACCTGAGACTGCACCTCAGTGCAGGACTGCAGCCCTCAGTGCAGATCCACCAGGAAGTGGGAGGAGAGGCAGGGAGAGGTGTGCAGCATCTGTGGAAGTGCCAAAGATAGAAAGGTTATTTCTGGGACACTGCTGGACCGTAAGAGAAAGTGCTCAGGGATTGGGCAGAACTCCCAAGCAATAGTCCTAAGAACACAGGCTCTCAAGTTCCATCTTCTCATATGGAAATCCCTCCCAGAGGGATTTTGGTTTGACCCCCTATTGTCTCTCAGGCAACTACCAAGGCTGACACCTGGGGACTAGGCTCCTCCGGGAAATGCCCCAGTTGAGGACCTCACTGTTCCCAGGCTCCTGCTAGTATCCTGGGTAAACACTGTGTGTGTGATGGGCAGAATGTGGTCACAGAAGGCCAGGCATGTGATGTACTCTTGGGACTTCCAGTACAGAGACTATGATCTGGAGATCTGTTGATCCCCCTGGATGGGACTGCCTCTTGTCCTCCCCTTGTACTGCCCCAGCCTCTTCCTGGCTGCTCCTCACTGTAGCTTTACCTCTCCATGCTCTGGAGGACCCTAGGAGCAGTAGCTCCCTTATCTATGTGATTCTAAAGCCCATGTTGCCTGAAATGGTGTGTAGGATGTCCAGCCTCACTCTGAGCTAGCTGCATTCACGTTGCCCTTCCAAGCACAGAATAGAGAGTTGGCATTCATGGGATAGAGTTAGGTGGGTAGTGTGCATTTTCTTTCACCCATTCTGAGAATGAAAGATTGTTTCCTGGTGCTTTGTTTTCTTTAAAGAAAGAAGAGAGAGCTTGCCTTTCAGTTCTTCTGAAGAAACAGAGCTTTAGTAGCTTTGGCTGCTCTTTGATAAAACACCTTAGCAGCATTACTTGGCTGATCTCAGAGTCAAGGCTGGGTTCAGGGTAATGTGGGTTTGTTCCTTGGGACAGGTTCTAGATATAGAGAGCAGAGGTTTTGAAGCAGGGAAAAGGGAGGGAAGTTCCTAGAGTTGAGAGAAGTAGTGAGAGTGGTTGTGGAGAAGCAGGCCCTACAGAGGGAGGGAGGAGCCCAAGGAGGCTGCTGGAGTAAAGCTCGAGCAGGGAGGACAGGCATACATCCCTGGCCAAGTCCAGGCATAGAAGAACCTATGGATGTCCATTCCCATCATCTGAACCCTGCATCCAAAACCCCTCTGGGGGACCCCAACTTGGTCATTTCTACACTTGGGGCATAAGTTCTTCAGGACTGGGGCAGATGAACCAGCACCTCTCAGCCCTGTGCTTGGAGAGGTGTGTGTGTGTGTATGTGTGTGTGTCTGTGAATAGCTCATGCTCCTCCTCTCACAAGACCATTGTCAACCTGCAGTGAGTGTGGTTCATGCTGAGAAGTGAGGCTAGGCATTTGTGTCAGCTTCACCATTAGACATAGGAGACTCATGCCCAGGAAGGCGAGGGAGTAAACAGTAACCAAGTCCCATTTTGCTTCAAGCCATTTCTAAAAATCTGTTGTCCACAGTTGAATCCTCTGATTATGCAGCTCTTCCTTGGCAAACTGGAAGATTAACCAATGAATGTTTCCTAAGCATGTCCCACAGTGAGTCTTCTTCCTGCACTGTATCCCCGAGGTCCACCCATCCTATGCATTATGCTACAGATGTCTCCCAATTCCAGGAAGAACCAACCTTGAAGGACTTCCTTAAATCCTAACAAGAACCATTACCTAACATCCTCCCCTTTATAACCATAATTAAGACCCTGTTAAAGTGAAATTCTCCTTACTAACAAGACTTAGTATTGTATAATTGAGGACTTTTGTGGCCTTTGTAAGCTGGCAGTTCAAGTAAATAAAAATGAACTACTTAGGTTCCAATGAAATTAGCTGAGCCTGGAGAGGTCCAGGGATCTGCCCCCATGTTTTAGAAATATGAGGGCAGGGGCAGGACTAGAAGCTTAAACTCCATGTGTCAGGCAATCACCTGTCAGTGTGACCAGGGCAGGAAGGAGCAGTGGGGGAGGCAAACTGGCAGATTTCTCTCAATTTCTATGTCACTCTGTGAGCAATGATGCTAATTCCACACATGACATTAATAGATAGTATCCTAATAACATAGGTCCAGTGGATGGCCGGAGTTGCTGTGTACCCTGAGATGGAGCAAAGAATTGATCAGGGAATGTGAGGAACTGGTGTCGTCATTGCAGATGACTATTACAGGGCCTCATCTTGCTTCTGCTAGCAATAGTGCATGCTTTTACTTTCAATAATGCTGCCTGCTTATGTGATCCTAGCCGTTTGTCTTTGGTTCACTGAAAATGACAGTGACAGAATCAACATGTGAGAAGATACAGAGCCTTAAAGAAGAGAGAAGGAGAGGAGGTGGGACTAAAGATGAAGGACACATCCCAAATGACACCAATATTTCACCATGTCTGAAAGAGCTCAGAAATTTTGAAGGCCCTCAGGGCAGCCAATGGCATCAGCATCAGCCCCTGTGGCCCCTGAGCTGCTGGAAGATGGAGTTTCTGAACACTTTAGCAAACCACGCAAAGTAGTGAGCATAGTATGTATTTCATCCTCACAATCAACCATCCTGCAGCAGGTTCTGAGCATCTTTCCAA